CCCCCCCCCCCCCCCCCCCGCCCCATCCTGGAATCATTGCTACCCCGCGGTCCTGCGTATGAGAGCCCAGAGCCTTCGCAGCTGAAACATCTAACCTCCTGGTCCCTCGGACTCTCTCCAAATCTTCCAAAGGGGAAGGGAAGGATGAGAGAAACAGACAGTGGATGACAGACAGGCAGAGGGGAAAGGAGACAAAGAGGGAGATTGAGAGATGGGGAGAGAGACGGAGAGGAAGGAGGATAGAGATGGAGGAAAAGGGAGGCAGACGGAGTGGCCTAGGCACAGAAAAAGTGTAGACAGATATACGAAGTGCCAGAGACAGACTGGGAGAAAGTTAGGGGCCAGGAAGGACAGAGGGAGAGCCGGAGAGGACGCGATATCAAAGAATTTCTTCCGGTTTCTGAAAGTCTATCTAGACACAGAGACAGTGGATGAGAAAGAGACACTGGAGAGAGACAGAGATACACATAGAAACAGAATCTTCCAATAATTTTTCCTGGTTAGGTGGGTGAGAGTGGCCTGCTCTCCACTCACTGTAAGCCTTTCCTTCTGTTCCCTGTTCCTCTGCAGGTCTACCCACCGGTGACACCGATGAGCACAATGACCCCACTCAACTCCTACATGACCCTGAGCCCCCTGAGCCCCCCATACCCACCTCCTGGCCTCCCAGCCTCACCCCTTCCAGCTGGCCCCCTGGCCCCAACAGCCCCCCCAGCACCTCTGGGACCTCCATTCCCGGCTCTGGGACCCAGCGGGGGCAGCGGAGGGGGGCCTGGGTATGCCGGCCCGGGACCTGTGTTGGGTCGGCCGAAGGAGGCCCCGAAGGGCAGTTACCGTCGTCCTCTGGCCCATGCCAAACCCCCATACTCCTACATCTCCCTTATCACCATGGCTATCCAGCAGGCCCCTGGCAAGATGCTGACCCTGAACGAGATTTATCAGTGGATTATGGACCTGTTCCCTTACTACCGAGAGAACCAGCAGCGATGGCAGAACTCCATCCGCCACTCACTATCCTTCAATGATTGCTTTGTCAAGGTGGCCCGATCCCCGGACAAGCCCGGCAAAGGCTCTTACTGGGCCCTCCACCCAGGTTCCGGCAACATGTTTGAGAATGGCTGCTATCTCCGGCGGCAGAAACGCTTTAAGCTGGAGGAGAAAGTCAAGAAAGCTGATGGCGGGGGTGGGGGGCCAGGTGGCCGGGGAGCTGCCGGGGCTGCCTCAGCCGCCTTGTCCTCCTCCCCACCTCCACCGACTGGGCCCCCTGCCCCAGAGGCAGACGCCCCGGGTGGGGGGGAGGGAACAGCAGGGACCCTGAACTGCGGCTCGCCCCCATCCTCGGCGGGGCCCTTTTTCCCTGGCTTGGAGCTCCCCAGTGAGCTGAAGCTGGACGTCCCTTATAACTTCAACCACCCCTTCTCTATCAGTAACCTGATGTCGGAGCAGGCGGCGCCAACTCCGCTGCCTCAGACAGCTCCCAAGCTGGACGTGGGTTTCCCTGGCTATGGGGCAGAGGGTGGGGGTGGACTTGGTGAGGCTAGTGTTTACTACCAGGGCCTGTATACCCGCTCTCTGCTCAATGCATCCTAGCCTAGGGAAGTAGCTAGTGGAGTAGAGAGAAAGGGGTGGGCCTGAGATGTCAAGGTGAGGTACAATTGTCACCTGCGGGACAGCCACGGCTCCTGTGTCTGTTGGAATGGACTGCCGTCTTGGTTGGCTGCTGGCTGCCATTTTGGTCGGCATTTCAACTTATCCCGCTGTTCATCATGATGGCTTTCGTTCTCCTTTCTTTCTGGCCGCCATTTTAGTCGGTGTCTTGGCTTATCCCATTGGCCATCACATTGGCTACCGTTCCCCCCACTATGTTACAATATTCTAAGTCGGGATTGGTTGGAGGGTCAGTGGAGATTGGGGGGGTCAGTTTGAGCTGTTCCCTTGGAGCCCCTCCCTTAATTGGGATACCGAGTTCAGTGAGGGGACTGTGGCCAGGAAGGGACTGCCCCTTTTCAGTGGCTTTTGGGCTTGGACATTAAAGCTTCTCTCTCCCCTCTCAGCCTGCATCCCAGCTGCCTCTTTTCACCTGCGTCAGGATGGGAAGGAACTCTGATGCTTGGGTCCCTCTTTCTACCACAGAGGGCAGATTCCTGGGTACTTTTCTCCTTGCCTTGTCAATGGAGTTCATCACCCCTGTAATCTTCCTGACCCCAAATAATGATGATGACAGTGATAAAATAAGGTGGGATTTAGAGGTGGAAGGGACCTCAGAGAGCCTGTAACCCAACCTTCCCATTTTATGGATGAGGCCCAAAGAGGTAATGACTTGCCCAGGGTCACACAATTAATAAGTGACTTAACTGGAATTTGAGCTCAAGTCCATAGACTCAAGATGCAGTTTAAAGAATTTTGCATTTGCATCCGAGCAGTGTAACCTTGGGGAAATCACGTCCTTTTTCTCCAGGCCTCAGTTTCCTCATCTGTAAAATGAGGGGGTAAGGTCTCTTCCAGCTTTCGGTCTAGGTTCTGATGATTCTTTGGCTTCCAATCTGAGGCTCTCTCCCCCCTACCATCTACCTGAGGACTCCCATTTATAAAGTCATGGGAGGTTTGTAAAGGCTCTTCTCTGGGAGCGCTAGATGCCTGGATCCTCTAGTCAGGCCCTCAGTGCTGGAACTGGGTAGGGGGTGGGGAAGGCAGGCATGGGCCTGACCTTTGCTTCCACCTCCCCCCACTGGTGTCCCTGACCCCAGCACAGTTTGTTCACCAGAGCTGCCCCGCCAGTCTGGCCCAGGAAAGAAGGAGGGGGAGGCAGTTTCTCCATCTCAGGACCCTCCCCCCACCCCAACCCACATTTGGAGGGTCCCCAACCTTGGCCCTGCTGGAGAAGAGCCAAATCATGGCTGGGGGATGGTGACCACGTGAGTGTCCCTCCTTCCATCCGTTTGGAGAAAACATGCCCCTGGGGCCTGGAGTTTCCTCTTTCCTCCACTCCCTCCCTAGCTGTCTCTTTTCTGTGTATATTGTCCCCATCACCGTCTCTGTCTCTTTCTCCCGATCTTTGCCTGTCTCTCGATTTTCATCTTCCTGTTTCTGGGTCTCCGTCTAAGCCCGTTGCTGGCTTTTTCCACCTCCACGGCTCGAACTGTCTCTTTCCACCTGTTTTTAAAACTACATGTTGTAGATTTCTCTGTGTCCCGTGCCCCTTTGTCTCAGACCCTGTATCTTAATCCCCGTATGTGTGTGAGTGTGTGTGTGTGTGTGTGTGTGTGTGTCTGTGTCTGTGTGTCTGTGGGTACACCGGCTTTTCCCCTGCCTCTCCATGTGTCTGTTTCTATCCCTACCTCTTTCCTCCTTCGAGAGGAAGACACAGTGAGAGAGGGACAGCCCCATTCTGTCTATTTCTCTTCCCTGACCCTCTGGCTCTCCCGGTGTGTTTGTGGTCTCTCTGCCCCCTTCTGTGGGCTCCTGTTTTCCCAGCCCTGCCTCCGTCCCTCCAGAGCCCTGGATCCTCATTCCTCCCCCACCCCACCCCCCTTGCTTCCCGCCTCCCAGTCCGTGCCTGGCTCCCTGTCTGTCCCTCCGTCCTCCGGAGCCCGCCCGGGGAATTCCTCTGGCTTCCTGGAAAAAACAACTAGGAGCAGCAGTAGACAGGGGCTCAGTCTCTCCCTGGGCTCCGTCCCCCCCTCCGCGGACCTCGGGGTCTCTCCCGGAGCGAGCGGGCCGGGGGCCAGGCGGGGCCGGGGCTGAGGCCGGAGGCTGCGGTTTAGCCGCTCCCCAGAGGCCCCCGGATCTGGCCCCCACCCCGGCCAACAGCCCAAATATTATTCCACGCGAGCGAGCGAGGGAGCCGCCGCTGTAGCCTCCAGCTGAAAAGAGTCTTTTTCATCCTCCTTCGGGTGGGGGGGGGGGGGGGGGGGGGGGGGCGGGGCCGGGAGGGGGGGCCCCACCCCGCCCCGGGCCGGGGGCCCCCCAGGGACTCACTGGGGCTTCCAGGCCTCCCCAGCCCTGCCCCGGGGTTCGGCTCCCGGATCCAGAGGGCTGCGGCCCAGAGGGGTGTTAACTGGGGTCTCCGTGGCCCAGGGGAGGCTGGCTGGGGGCTGGGTGTCTGGCTGGACTTTGCTGGCCTGGCGTGCCATCCCCCACCCGCCCTGAGGCCCACGCCCAAAGCGGAAAAGTACACTGGCCAGGGACCCAGGGGGACACCGGGACACATGGATGCATGGCCACACAGAGGCGAGGACAAGGAGATGCAGTTTGCATTTCAGGTGTACATGTTCAGTTGTAGTCAGCCAAGGGTATAAAAGGGCGACTGTGCCCAGAGAGCACCTCTGTGCTGGAAGCTGGGGGACCCCGAATGGAGAGCAGGAAGGGACCTTTGGCTCATCCAGGCCAACCCCCAGTGAGCAAACTGAGGCCCAGAGAAAGGAAAGGACTGGGTCAAGGGCTCACATCAACTGTGAGTGGCAAAACTCCGACCTCTAGACTCCAAACCTACATTTTATGGATGAAGAGGTGTATCTCTGGTGGCCCGCACCCCTCACCCCCACCCCATCTGTGTGTCCCCAGTTCCTGCCCCAACCTTTTCTTTGAAGCCTGCCCTCCGTGGGCCTCCTGGCCCTGTTTCTCCTTTCCCCTGGATCCCCTTAGCAAGCTCTCTGGGAAGGACTTGGGGGCTCCCAAAATAGGATGGGGAGGCTCTCCCCATGCCCTTCATCAGGCCCCCTCCCCCTCTCCTTGGACATCTGAGATTCTGTCTATAGGTCTATGGGTCTTCCACTTCTCTTCCCTGTCCAGATTCTCCCCTCAGGGCTGGACAGGCCTGCCTCCCTCCCTCCCACCACCCCCCAGGGATGGGGTCCCCAGCCTACTTCGCCTCTCCTAGACTCCACTCCCCTCCCCTCCACGCCCCTCCCGAAAGTTCTGGGCCGGGTATATATATCTGTGGCCGGCGGCAGCAGCCTGGGCAAACACTGGGGCCTTTGTATCCGGCTCTCCTCTTCTGCCCCATCCAGCCCAGCCTCTCCCTCCTCTCTTCGGCCCTCCCTTCTTCCCTCCCGGCACAGAGACGTTCCTGTGGGGGCTGCCAGCTTCCTGTTCCCCAGCTTGCTGGCCAGAGGTGTGAGCCCCTCGGTGTAAGGCCCAGGCGGCCAGAGGCCCCCGGAACAGGCCCAGGCCCAGCCACCAGCGACCCACCAACGGGACAGACTGGGTGGGGGCTGGCAGGGTCTGTGTGTGTGGAGGCTTTCCAATCCCGATGGAATTTTTTTCCCCTAAGGGAGGCAGGGGCCAGGGCAGGGTCCCCAAGAATCCTCTGCCTGGCCTGGGGCCCCTGCCTCTCTGGCACCTCTCTCTGGGCCGTCTCCCTGTGTTTTGCCATTTCTTTGCTTCTGTGTCTCTGTCTCTGTGGCCCAGGTACTCGAGCTTCCTTTTCAGCCTGCCAACCTGGCTCCTGGTGTCTCTGTTCTGTGTTCTTTCCCTATCTTAGCATCTCTCTCTCTCTGTACCTCTGTTACCTGCCTCACTCTGACTCACTCACTCACTCACTCACCAAACATTCACTTACACCTACTTTGGCAGACTGGTGGACAGGCTAGTGGGACAGGCTGGTGGGACAGGACATGGGTCCTTGTTTAAGGGATTGTGAAGGCTCATCTCTCAGTCTCTTCCTTAAAGGAGGTATAAGGAATTTTCTCTTCCGTGTGTGTGTGTGTGTGTGTGTGTGTGTGTGTGTGTGTGTGTGTGTTTCTCTTTTACTGTATTTCTTTCTGTCCCTGGGTTCCTTTGGATTTCTGGGTCTCTGACTCTTTCTGTCTCTCCTAGTCTCCCCCTGCCCAGGGTTGGTTAATGGGTAACAAGGCTGGGGGCTGTATCTGAACACACATCAGGTGTGTTCTCTAGAGGGGGAACGGATGGTGTGACACCCCCCCTCCTCCCAAGCAGGACAGCTGTTTTTAAAGGGGCAGGGTATACTTGTCCCCTCCCCCTTCTCTCCATTTCTGGTATCTCAGAGCCTCACCACCCTTCTCAGAGCCCAGAAGGTTAAAAAACCCAAATCTCCTTTTCAGCCCCCCCCCAGACTGCTCCCCCCCCTTCCTTTAGCCTTATCAGCTGTACCTGTTTGTCCAGGGGGCAGGTTTCCCAGCCCTGCCCTGGCACCTGGGCTGCATACAGTGCCAGGGGCCCAAATGCTTGGGTGTCCCCAAGCTGAGGGCCTGCACACCTAGGGACTGGAGAGTTGGATACCTGGGATGGATTTGGGGGATTGGATGAATTCTGGCAACTAGAGGAATGGGACACTATGGGAATTGATGCCTGGATTCCTTGGGATTTTTTTTTTTAAAGTGGGGGAGAGGTAGACTGCGGGACAGACAAGATACCTGATGTCTGTAGACCAGAGGGACTAAAGTGCTTGGTGACTAGGGGATTTGGACCCTCAGGATGGACACTCAGTGGTCCCTGGATGGGGCTTACATTCCAAGGTACTCCATGGGAAGGGGACCATGTCTAGGGCCCTAGGAAGCCAGAAGGAAGGATTCCTAGGAGGGGCCTCAGGAAAGTGAGATCTGCCGTCCCCAGGAATGGAGACCGGGACATTGGGGTGGGCCTGAGAGGCATTGGGGTGTGGGGGTGGTGGTACACGGAGACCCTTTCCCGCCTGTAATTTGATTCTCTGTTTCTCCGTGTTCTCCCTTTCTTGCTGTGCTGAAATCTCTATCTCCTTCCAATTGGGTGCCTAAGACTGCTGGGGGAGGGGGGGGGGTCGGGTCCCATCTTTAACCCCTTGTCTACCACCACATTGGGTGGCCCCGCCCCACCTCTCCCCCCCCACTCCCTCTGCCTGCCCGCCTCTGTGACGTCATAAGCAGGAAGTCCTGGTTAATTATTAGTTCCTTGGGGCAGGTGCGGGACAAGGCCGCGAAGATAAGAAGCGATGGCTGGGAGCCTGGCCCAGCCCACCTCTGGGTGCCCCCCTCCCCCACTTCGGGAAGTACCCCTTTCTCTTTTATCTTCTCCCGCCTAAGGGGCATAGAACCCAAGCTCCTAATACAGTAGCCTTCGGCTTATAGTTCCACTGACTTGTTAGCTTACCTCGAGCTAGTCCTGGCCCTTCCTGGCCTCAGTTTCCCCATCTGTGAAATAAGGGGGCTATCTCTGAGGCCTCTTTCACCTATATAGTCCTGTCCCCTCCCCCTTTTCAGGAATCCTTCCCAGATTAACCCTTGCTTGACGTGTTGCAGAGCAGAGGTGCTCCCTGAAAGTAGAAGTCATGTTAGCCAGGTACCGGGGGAAGCCCGTGTCAGCCTTCCATCCAGGTCAGGGGCTCAGGCGCAGGAAGCTTGAATCCTGAGAGGCTGGGGGAACGAACGTCTGGGTTTGTCCTGTAGTGGTGTTGGCAGACGGAACATGCGGGTCCACGGAGTAAGCAGTGGCTGAACTATGAAAAGCTATTTCCAGGGGTTGGGGGGTCTGGGTGCCCGAAGGGGTTCCCATCTCCATGGAGCTCAGGGGGGAAAGGCGTTCCCCGATGCCCACCCTCACCGCCGGAGAACTGGAGCCTTCCTCCCTTGGGGACTAGAGGAGTGGACACCCAGCTTGCCTGGAGGCTGGAGTCCCGAGGACTCCTTTTCGGGGCGACCATTTTCATGGAGCTCAGGGGGAACCCCATTCCCATCCCTGGAGAACTGGAGCCTGCCTCCCTTGGGGACTAGAGGAAAGGCCACCCGGTTTCAGGGGAGGCTAGAGTCCCGCGATCCCTCTTTCGGGGTGCCAGCTCGGGGTGCCCGTGGCTCTCTAGCGCCACCTGGCGGTCTCAGGCGAAACTATGGGGGGACAGAAGGAAGCAAAATTGAGAAGGAAGGGACAACAGGACCACAGAATTTAGGCTTGGGGCAATGGATCATTCAGTCTCCAGGGTTGGGGAACCTGTGGCCATCGAGGCCTTGGGTGCGGTCTTTTGACCGAGTCTAAAAAGTCAAAAAAGTTTTACAGAACAAATCCTTTTAAAGGGATTTGTTCTATGAAGTTTGGATTCAGTCAAAGGGCTGCACTTGAGGACCTAGAAGGCCACATGTGGCCTCGAGGCTGCAGGTTCCCCACCTCTGGTTTAACCCTTTCATTTTATGGTGTGTGTGTGTGTGTGTGAGAGAGAGAGAGACAGAGAGAGAGACAGAAACTGATGCCCAAACAATCAACATTTAACAAGTAGCTGATTTGTCCTAGGCACTGGGGATAAGAGTGAGCTGGTCCTGACCTCAAGGAATTTTCAGATAAAGTAAACACACAGTGACTTGGGTGGGAATCTGGAAAGGTCTTTTGAAAGAGTGCATTTGAGCAGAGCCTTATTAGGAAGCTAGGTGTTCCAAAAGATGGAAGAGAAGAGCATCCCAGGCCTCGGGGTGGGGGTGGAGGGGAGCTTATGCCAAGACAGGGAGGCTGGAGATGATGGGATAGCTGGTACAGAAAAGATCAAGGAAGCCCACTTGGCCAGAGTGTGGAGTGGAATAGAGGAATAAAGGGGGAATTTCCTGTAATCAGCCTAGGAGGGCAGTTGGAAGCCAGACTGTCAAGAAGGGATTTGGATGCTAAGCAGAGGATTCTATACTTGAGCTAAGGGAACCTGAAAGCTACTGAAGCTTCTTCAAGTCCTTCCTGTTCAGCCTTGTGCTGCAGGCGTATCAGTTGGGTAGCAGTGAGGCAGAACGGCTGGCTGAAGAGGGGAGAATGAAATGCAGTGATTGCTTGGACGGCGACTGAAATCTGGAAGAGGTGATGAGACCCTGGGGGAGGGTGGTTGTGGTGTGAGTGGGGAAAAGATGTGAGGCACGTCATAGAGAAAGACCCGATGGCTGGCTGTAATAAGAGTGATAATAAATATCAATAAAATGCAGTCATCCAAGTGAAAGAGCTGTTGACCATGCCTTGGTTTGCTAGAAAAAATGGTGGAGACCCTCAACAGTCAGGGAATTTGGGAGTTGGTTTAGCTTGGGTCCTCAAACTTAATGGCCTGAGGGTCAAATCCTCCCTAAAGTGTTGAGTGTTTTTAAAATACAATCTCATTTGAACCTCACAACAACTCTGATAGGCATTATTATTATCATCCCTATTTTACAGTTAAGGAAACTGAGGTAAAAAGGTTCAATGACCTGCCTGTGACTTGCTAGGAAGCATCTGAGGTTGGATTTGAATTCAGGTCTTCCTGACTTGTGCCACATAGCTACCTGTCTCTAAACACTGAGTTTTCTTTTGGATGTGTCTTTAAGACACTTAGGGGATATCATGACCAGCGGGCGATTGTGAATACAGGCCTTGCAGAGCTTAGCAGAGGAAAGCTGGGAATGGAGGTGCTCGGTGAACCCATGGGAGCTGGTGAGATCAATAAGAGGGATGGGAGAGGGCCCAGGATGGAGCCCGGGGGGTGGGGTGGGGGGGGTGCGGTACACCTACACCAAAGAGGTGAGTCATAGATAATGAGGTGATGATGGCCCAGGTAGAAGTGAAAGCTTTTGCCTGTGGCCCTGCAGCAAGTTAGGGGCGGATTCCTGTGAAAGCCTGGGGCTACTTCCATTACTCCACCGGCTACAGCAAAGCTAGAGAGGAATGGGAATGAAGAAAGGGCTGGGGTTGACAGAGAAATCCAAAACATTACTATCTGTGATGCTCATGATACGTCAGGCACTGTGCTAACCAAGCACATATCCCATCTGATCCTCATAATTACCCTGGGAAGTGGGTGCTATTATTATTACCCCCACTTTACAGATGGGTAAACCGAGGCAAACAGCCGTGAAGTGACTTATCTGGGGTACGTAAGCATCTGAGGTCAAATTCGAACTCAGGACTTCCTGACTCCAGGCCCAGCACTCCATCCACGGCACCACCACTTGTCCCATTTACTGGTAGAATTTTAGAAACTTGGAGCCTTACAAACTACCTAGACTAGGACTGTCCTGGTATTTCCCAGTTCCGTATCTCTTGGCTTTCAGCAAGCCTCCCTAGATCTCTCATGAAGTATTTGACTGTTTAGTTGCATCCAACTCTTCTCGACCCCTTAGACCATGCTGTCCGTGGGGTTTTCTTCGCAAAGATACTGGAATGATTTGCCATTTTACAGATGAGGAAACTGAGGCAAACACAGTTAAATGGCTTGCCCAGGGCCACAGGGCTAGTAAGCATGTGAGGCTGGATTTGAACTCTGGTCTTCTGACTCCGGGCCCAGTGATCTAACAGTTGAGTCACCCAGCTGCCTTATTAAATATAAAAGATGTAAATTTGACCTTTTCTTTCAGGTGCGTCTAAGAACCTGAGTAATTAATCAGTACAGGATGATATAGCTATTTGCCAAACAGTCCCCGTAAGCCCCTGACCAGCTTCTTGTGCTGTCCAGAGGTAAGCATGGCCTCCCTTGGGAAAGCCTCTCTGCACAGGAGAGAGCAGGAACAGAAAGTTCATAGCCACCCGAGAGCCAGGGGCACAGCTGGGATTTCAAGCTCGTGTCTTCAGTGGCCGAAGGGCCTTTCCAGGTCGAGCACAGAGCCAGGCCTTGTTTCACAGAGATCAGGGCTTAAGAAAGTAAGGGGCAGGCCCCTGGCTCACTAAGGCAGCGGGCTCTTTTCCGAGCACTCCATGGTGCATGCTAAGGCTGGGAGGGGCCTTGGGATTTCACGGATGAGGAGCCTGAATCTCCAAGAAAGGATGACCTGGTGAACCAGGGTCAGAGGCAGGGTCTGACCCTAACTGCACATCAGGTCTTCTGGAGTTCCTGGGACTAAGCCCCTTAGTGAGATGTCCTCCAATGGGACTGAGAAAGACTTACAGGGCGGGCGAAAAGAGGACTCAGGACCACTGGGAAAAAAACCCCAAAACTTTGCTTTATTGAAGGAGGACCCCCCCCCCCCCCCCCAAAGGAGTTTCTTAATCCAGGTATGTTCTTTCTGAAAGGGCAGATTGGGGCCCTTTCTCCCTCCCCCCTGTTACAAGCAGCAGAAAAGCCAAGCACTAGAAGTGGGGGATGGGGACTAACTATGACCCCCTGTAGGGGTGGGGGAGTCACAGGCCTGAAAACTACCCCTCTCCCCCCACCCCCAAAGCATTGAGGGGCCTCGGCAAGGGAAGTCTATGGCTCCATCCACATCTTTCCCCCCAGACTGCGAGTTGACTGTTCCTAGGGTGCTGGATTGGGTGGGGAGCCCCCCATCAGTTAAGACCAGTGCTCTGCCGCCATTGACCCCATCTCCCCTTGGATTTGGGGCAAAGACTTGAGGAAGGGTGGGGACCCAAGTGCCTATGGGGAGATGTTCCTTGAATGTGGCCCCCCACCCCTCCTCGCCCTTTCCCCCAGGAAGCTCTTGAGGAAAGACAGGACCCAGATACTGAGAGCTTAATGATGTCCTTAAAACCACCACATACACACACACTCCCCACCCCGGGGAGAGGGGGTCGGCTGTTGCAGAAAATTTTGTCCAAAAGCATGGTGCCTGGCTTTAGGACTCGCCCCTGGACCTGTCGGATTCAGAGGTCAGCTGTTCTGGGCAAGCTCTGTACGAAGTCAGGACCCAAGCGTCCAGTGTCCCGGATGCTAGGCTTTGGAGGTGTGCTTGAACTGGTCTCCCCCTGGAACCAGAGGTGACCACTCCCAGGAAGCACTAGTGAATGGCAAGGACCCAGTGTGTCCGCGGCCCCAGTTCTGGGGTTGGGTTGGGGGCATCTTTAAATTCATCTCTTCTCTTGGACTTGGAGGCAATGGTTCCAGAGTTTGTTGGGTTTTTGTCTAAGGTCGGGGTCCCAGACATCTCGGGGCTCAGCTCGGAGTTTTAGGGCCCCGTGAAATCCAGGGGCCAGGTCCTTGAGCCCATCTCTTCCCCTCAAACAGCAGGCACCTGCTGCAAGGAAGCTCAGCGTGAAGGAGATCAGAGACAGGCATCAAAGGGCCAGTTCTGAGGGCTCTGGAATGACCTTGGCTCCATCTCCCACTGGAAATCAGGGGGCAGCAGTTCCACAGAGTTTTTCCACGGGCAAAAACCCAGACACCTGGGTCTCCAGCTCTGGGCTTTGGGGGTGCTCTGGCCCCATCTCCCCCCACCCCCAAATCTGGGGTGGCTGTTCTGGGAAAGCTCAGCCTAGGGGCTGGGTACCAGGAGTTTGGCAGGGCTCAGCTAAGAGCTCTGGGGGTGTCCTCAAGGCTGTCTCCCCCCAGAATTAGCTCTAGGAAAGCTCAGTCTGTGGGTAAGGGAAAGGTGTGGGGGCAGGGGCCGCTCAGAGGGAATAATTTAGCTGCAGGGTCCAGGGTCCCAGAAACCCGGGACCTAGGAAGGGATGTGGGAAGGAGGGAGAGCCAAGCTTAGGGATCCCTCTCCTTCTTCACCTTGATGTCACCTGCCAGGATGGTGGCAATCTCACCCTGCATGAAGGCCCAGGGCACGCTGGACCCCACTAGTGGGCACTTGTCCCCACTAGGGCAGTAGACCTCACCAGCAGGGCCCATGGTCTTGATAAACTCCCTCGAACAGGGGAAGCAAAACTTGTGGCCTGGCACTGACGGGCACTGGACGAAGTGGGTGTCCTCCAGCCTCTCCCGGCACAGAGTGCAGCACAGGGGAGCCCCAGCCCCACTGGTCCCACCGCCCGCCCCGGCCACTCCACCGCTCCCAGACTCCCCCTCTGCCTCTCCGTTCCGGGCTACCAGCCTCTGAGGAGCAGCTGGGGATGAGCCTGCCGGACTGGCTCCTCCAGCCCTCCCAGGGCCTCCCCCACCTCCCTCCTTGGGCGACTGACCCAGCCCCTCAGCCACTGTCTTCAGGGCTGCAATGGGTGAAGGAGCCCCGGCTGCCGCTACTGCTGGCTCACCCGCATAGGGGGCTGCTCCCCAGTGGCGCTGCTGCTGCTGCTGCTGCTGCTGCTGCTGCTGATGCTCTTCACTGGTCAGCTTCCCGGCTGCCTCCCCCTCCGGCTCAGGTGAGGCTTTGCGCCTCCTGGGCACTGGGCCGGGGGTTCGTGCTGGCCGAGCGGAGGCACCATCGGGGGACTGCAGAGGCAGGGCCTCGGCAGGGGCGGGCTCCCGGAAGGTGCGGACCCCATCGGTGAGGAGCTCGGCCAGCTGCCGCCACTCGCCAGAGCCATGCCGTTTCTCATACTCCAGGTACTTGAAGCCTGAGGAGGCCAGAGCTTTGCCCGGCTCCCGGAGGGCATCGTGGAACATCTGGCGGGCCACTGCCAAGACACCAGCATAGACGTTGCCGGAGCCACACGGGTACTCGGTAAAGAGCTTCAGCTCAAACTCGTAGCCTGGGGGGCGGGCAGTAGCATCAAAGGCAAACACTCTCCCCACCAGCCCGTGGTCCTTCTTGAATCGGACATTGAAGGGGGCACAGGCTGAGAGCGCCAGCAGCTGGTCCCGAACGGCCTTGGGCCGCCCGTGCCATTCCTCCGCTCGGCCACGCATGGCCTCGTTCAGCTCTGCCAGGCAGTCTGCCGCCCGTGGAGGCTGGCTGCCCACTACGCCCCCAGCACCCACCCCGGCCACCGCCTTCTCCTTCTCAAAATCGGCCCCAAAGCCTGGGCGGGCCCCCAGGGCCATCCCCCGGCCGCCCAGCCCAGACACAGCAGCTGCTAGCAGCCCAGGCGAGACCAGGCCAGGCATGGCCCCCAGCAGAGCCCTGCGGGCCCCATCTGCTTCCCCGTTGGCCAGCCGGGCCCCTATCCCAAAGTCCAGGGTGGCCGGTGGCAGGGGCATGCGGGAGGGCTGCCCGGAGGAGGCTGCCGCCGTGGCGATGGAAGACGAAGACGAGGAGGACGAGGACGACGACGCCCGGTCGTAGCGGTCAGCGGGCTGGGCAGCCACGGTCTCCTTGCCGGTGGCGGAGGGGGGCTTGAGCGCCGGGGGCCCCGGGGAGCGGCCCTCGGGCAGAGAGTGGCTGCGCTTGAGCTGTCGGGCCGCCTCGATGAGCAGCTCGATGCGGTCGGCGCCCTCGAAGTTCACGCATCCCCGGCACACGGCCTCGCTGAAGTCCCACACCATGGCCCACGGCATCTTGGGCAGGTCGCACAGGTAGCACCACTGGCGCCGCGACGCCTGCACGGACGCCATGGCGCCCGGGGCTCAAGCCAAGGGCCGGCCTGGCCGCCGCCGCCGCCGCCGCCGCCCCTCGATGCCGCGGGCTCCGTCCCTCCCTCCCTCCCTCGTCCGTCCGTCCCGCGGTCCCGCCTTCCCTCCCTCGCGCAGAGTTGCGCAGCTCCAAGGAGGGGGCGCTCCCGACGTCCGGCCGGAGGGCCCGCCCCGCCCCGCTCCGCTCCCCTCCGGGCAGGCTCGGCGGCTCCGGGCCGCGCTGGCGTAGCCCCCGCGCGCGCAGCTCCCCGTGCCCGGGCCAGGCCTCGCCGCGGCGCCGCCCCTGCCCGCCGCCCCTGGCCGCTGCGGCCGTCGCAGTCCGCTCTCTCCGCTGCCGCGGCCGCCCGCCTTCCTCTGCCCCAGCAGCCGCTTCGCAGGGAAACTTACATAACGCACGCGGGCAATGCCTTCTGGGGGATGTAGTCTCTTCCGAGGGCCAGCCCGGGACGGGCGGAGGGAGCGCAGCGCAGAGCTGCCCTGCACAGCCCAGCGCAGCGCGGCGCTCGCCCTGCTGGCCGCCCTGGCCGCCGGCCTGACCACTGGGCCCGGGGGAGGCGGGAGGGCAGTCCGAGCTGTCGGCGCGTGGCCCCAGGTGGGGCGCTGAATGCTAGAACGGAGGACGCAGACCATGAGAACGAGCAGGGGAGGAGTTGGAGGGTCAGGGGTGCTAGAATTTAGAGCTGGAAGCCCCTCGGCCCTCGAGGAAGCCAGTCCCCTACTTTTTTCCAGAAGGGGAGCCCAGACTGAGGCAGGGACATGAATCGCTCCAAGGTCTCCCTCCTGACCCTGGAGACACTCACAAGGCCGTGGTGTCCCGACACTCTGGACGAAGGCTGGGCTGCATCCCGGGAGCAAGTGACCTCCCCGCTCAGCCTCCGTGTCCCACTCCGTGCAGTGAAGGGGGTGGAGTGGGCGAGAGGCTGGCCTTCAGAGTGGAGATCTCGAGGGGGAAGGGACCTTGGAGAACATTTGCGCTAACTCCCTCATTTTACAGGTGGGGAAACGAAGGCCCAAGGAGGGTACATGCCTGCCTAAGGTCACGCAGAGGCAGGATGGAAACCAGATGTTTACGTGTCCTTTCCAGCCCTGACTTGTTATCATCTTTTGGGTCCGTGGGCTGGGGGAGCACCAGGCCCGTGCATGGTCCCTCGCCCCCCCCCCCCCCCCCCCCGCTTCAAGATCATGGCATCCTGGAGTGAGGAACTCTTTCCAGTTCTTCCCAGGCCCTAACGGGTTAATTTTCTCAGCTACAAGCCCTCCCCGCCAGGCTCACTACAACTCCCAGAATGCTCCGTGGCTTGGGGGGAAGGTGATGAATTTCCTGTCCCCCCAAATCCACCTCCTACCCACAATTCTGTTCTCTCCAGTTCGGCTTTGACCACTCGAGTGCTGATTAAGCCCGCGGCTTCAGGCCGGGGAAGTGAGGTCTCGTCCCTCCTCCAGTCCGTCCCCAGGAGAGCTGGGAGTCGGCCTCCCCTCCGCGCCCGTCCCCCGGGGAGAGCGTTGGGTTTAGGACTTGGGTTTGAAGCCTAGCTCTTTCCCCCGTGTGCCCTTGGGAGTGGCTCCCACGAGCTAGCGTCCCTGAAGCGCTTGGCACAGTCTCCTAAACTGACCCGAATTTCCTCTTCCGTAAGATGTGGGTCAACTAGACGACGTGTGTGACTCCCCTTTCCTCCTTCCGAAGGCAGGAAGAAGCACCGACCCTCTCTGAGCCCATTTCCTAATTTGTAAGATGAGGCCGTCGCACCAGACAGTGATCCCAAGTGCCCAGACGTGTAAATAACGGTGTTGGCACTAGGATGTCCCCGGAGCCCTAGGATGTGCTTGGGAGTCAGGAAGACCTGGGTTCAAGTGCTGCCAGCCCCTGCCACTTCTAGCCAATGACGAATACCTCTAGACTTCCGTTTCGCTGTCTATAACTCTGTGTGGGGAGGAGGAGGAGGGCTACCGTGGCTCTCCTAGCCCAGTGTTGGACAGCTCAAAAGATGCCTGAAAAGCCCTTTAAACAGCGCCACTGAAAGCATGGCATTGTTACTACAGGTCCTCTGAGACCAGAGTCACAGGCTTTGTATTAAAAAATAGTTTATTGATATCTTGTTCTTGTGGGGGGGGGGGTAAGAAGGCGGGCACAGAGTGGTAGCGGGAAGGCCTGAGGCCTGGAGGGACCGGGGACTTAGCCCCTCTGGTGTGCTAGGAGGGGCGGGGAGCTCCTGACTTCCCCATGTCTTGCCCGTCGCGTCTGAACCCCAGGTTCAGATGCCGTCTAGGCACAGTGGTGGAACCCTAAGCCTAGCTTCTGGGCCACGGGACAGGAGGCCCCCACGAGCTGGGGGTGATCAGGTGGGAATTCCACCTGGTGGATAAGGGGGTCACAGACCCTCCAACCGCACCTCCCACAGAACAGTAATAAATAAGGTTAAAGTGACGGCTTTGCACGTCCAAGATGGGGATACTCCTAAGGCTGTGATACTTGGGGAGGCTGGGCATGTGTCTGACTAGGGGGCAGGCAGCGTGGAATTGTGGGAAAGAACCCTGCATCTGGAGTCTGAGGGTTTAGGTCTGAATCTGGACCTGCCACTTCGACGCTATGGGGGGACCTTGGGCAAGTCTCTCCATCTCTCCGGGCTTCATTCCTCCTCTCTAAAATGAGGGGATTGGGCTGAGGGGACTCCAAAGTCCCCTCCATCTCCAAATTCTGTGAAACTTGAGCCTAACGCTAAAGAAAATCAGGCACTAAACGGGGATTGTGGGTGGCACAGCCCCAGAGGGGGTGGTGGGAACGGAGAGCGACAGGAGGGAGCAGCTGAAGGGACCAGAGCCCACTGGAATTGGTTACAAGCAGTGTTGAGCCTCCCTTTCCCCCTGAACTGGGCCAAGCAGGGCAGAGGGTGGCAGGAGACCGGGAGCAGGCAGCGGGACACCCCTGAGCAGGGTGATCACATGTTCTTCCACCTTCCCCTCCGTTTTCGCGTTGGGAAACCTTTCCTCCTCTTCACTGGAGGTGAATCTCTGGGTAGAGGAGGCCGGGTACCCCCCTCCTGCCCTGGGGGAGTCCCCACTATGGCTGCTTCCTCTCCCTCCTCCACGGCTAACGCCGCGGGCTCAGGTGAGGTCTCCACCTTGGGGTGGGCCGGGGCCAGCCCGGCAGCAGGCAGGGGCACGGGTGGCTCTGGGCCAGCCAAGAGGGGCAGGAGGGCGCTGAGGACATTGCTCAGCTTAGCCAGTCCCTGGCGCAAAGTGCCTTCCAATTCACGGATGGCCTCTGCAGTCTCCCGCTGGGCACGGAGGAAGTCCAGAGAAGGGTCTAAGGTGGGTGGAAGGGGAGGCGGCGGCGGGAGGCTGGAAGGAGAGGGGCCTGGACACGGGGGACGCAGAGGTGGCGATGGGGCTAGCCTCGGGAGCTGGACAATCTGCAGGGCTGCCTGGTCTGGGGCAGGGGCTGGGGCAGGAGGGGGTGGGGAGTCCCGCTCTTTGGGACGAAGGAGGATGCCCTCCGAGGGGTAGCAAGGAGGGCGGGCCGATGGCTCGGGGCTGCTGCAGGCCTTGTTCCGGACTGAGGTTTCTGCAAGAAGAGAGTTGTGTGAATGAGAACTGCTGGTTACCGGGGCACCCCCCAGCCCGTCTGATCGGCCCCCGGGTGGGCTGAAGAATCGGGGCGTGACCAGGACAAGCCTCTCTGAAGAGGGCGTGGCTGCACTAGGAGTCTGAGGCCCCCTCTGGCTTTGGGGAGAGGGGACAGAATGAGGACAAGGTCCCAGCACCAGGCTCCCACCTTTCAATGTCAGCACGGAGCCGAGGGGCCCACTCCCCTCCGGGCACTGGAGGGGTGGCCCCCGTGTGCCCCACGGAGGGTTTGGCTGTCTGTCCAGGGCAAAGGATGCCTAAGTTGGCCAAAGTCAGCTGGTGCGCCTGCCGTGGCTGGGAGCCGTCAGGCCACGTGTGGCCCTCGAGTGCGGCCTTTCCACTGAGTCCAAGCTTTACAGAACAGATCCTTTTATTGAGGGGATTTGTTCTGGGAAGTCTGGATTCAGTCAAAGGGCCGCACTTGAGGACCTGGAGGGCCACGTGCGGCCTCACCCTAGGACTAGGCCTGTCTTAGAAATACCCGTGATGGGAAGAACTGCAGAGCATCACTGGGAAAGACCCAAGAGGCCTGCGAGGGCCCTGATCACTGTGCTGTTCTGGGCAGATTTCCTCCCCTCCCTGGGTCTTAGTTGGCTCAACTGTACAACAGGAGAGGCTAGAGCAGATGACCCTCCGAAGTCCCTTCCTGCTCTGATGGGCCAGGGTCCTAAGATCCCAAGGATCAGCGCGTCCCTTCTCCCCTGTGGAAAGCTGCCTCCCTGCCCTGCCAACCTCTGACCTAAGGCTCTTCCGACACTCAGAGGATTCAAGGTGGGGAGGTACCTTAGAGATGGAGGCCCACCCCGATTTTAGAAAAATGGAGCCACTGATCGGGGAAGGGCTCATCTAAGTGGTGCTGGGGACGCTCAGTTATGCCTGACTCTTCATGAGTCCTTTTGGGGTTCTCTTGGCAAAGGTACTGGAGTTGTTTGCCATTTCATTTTACAGATGAGGAAACCGAGGCAAACAGGCCTAAGTGGCTGGCCCAGGATCACACGGCTAGTAAGAGACTGAGACTGGATTTGAACTCAGGTCCTCCTAACTCCAGACCCAGTGCTCTATCCACTGCGCCATCCAGCTGCTCTTCACCTCAGCGACACAAGGAATCACACAGGGGTAGATAAGTAGCCGACTGAGATTTGAACACTGTATCCTAAGGTCCTTCCAACCTCTGACATCCCATGCTCTCTCGCTTCTTTCGGCTCTTAGAAAACCCAAGTTCCAACCCTTTCCCCGTGCCTTCCAAGCTGTGTGACCCTGGGCACGTCTCTAATCTCTCAGCCTCAGTCTTCCCATTTTTACAACTGATGACAGCACCCAGCTCACCGGGCAGTAGTGAGATTTACACTTCTCTCTCTAGTGGACACACACACATCGCATTCTCCCCTCATTCTAAACCAAGTTGCACCCTGCTCTGTCTCTGAGGGCTAGCCTCACCCTTTCCCTGCCTCTGTCCACCCCCACTCACCGGCCGGCCGCTGCTCTCCCCCCAGGAGGTATCGGTGAGGGAAGGGGCCCGGCGGGGGAGGCGGGTGGAAGGAAGCTGACGGCCCGGTGTTGAGCTCGGGCCCCCCCACCACACCGGGCCCCAGGATGGCGAAGATGGTTTCCTCCTCGGCAGAGAAGGCGTCCTCCGAGGCTCCAGGCCCAGACCCGCCGCCCTGCGTGGAGTGGGGGACCCTGGCCAGCTTCTCCTTGGTCCTGCGCTTGAAGTCATTCCAGCGCTTCTGCACCTCCTGGCCCGTGCGCTTCCAGCTGGTGATACCGTTGATCTTGGCGGCAATGCCCTCCCACACCCGCCTCCGCTCGGCCACCGTCACCCGGCGGCTCTGCGTGCCGTACAGCTGGGAGTAGTTGGCCCGCACCTCCTGGATCAGGATTTGGTTCTCTTCATAGGAGAAGCGTGGCTTTCGCAGGCGGGTGATCTCCTCCACCTCGCCCGCCATGCTGCTGCTGCTGCTGCTGGTGCCCGCACCCGGTCCAGGGCCTTTTCCTGCATTGGGTGCTGTGAGGGAAGCAGATGCAGGAAGGGGTGACTGGGGAGGTGGAGGCCCCCTCCATCCTCTACGATGGAAAAAGACTCTTCCCTTCATCCCCCAACAGAAGGATCCGCTCTCTTCATCCGACGGTCTCTCCCGTCCAGTGAGCATCTTCCCCTTCAGCTTACACCAGCCCACCAAACATCCCCATCTTTCAGGCGTGTCTGCCTCATCTCCCCTCCTCATTAGACCACTGTCATCCAACTCTCCTGGCCTCCCTGGCTCTCCCCTTCTCATCTAATCGTCTCCTCTCCACTGTGTGTCCCACCAGCCCCCTCGGGATCTGTCCTCCCCTGCCTAGCTCTCTCCAGCCCCATGTGGCTGTGGGGGTCATCACCTCCTCCTAGACAGTGGGCCATTCCCACGCCTGCCCCACCATGGTGCGCCCAGCTTCCCTTACCCAATCATGCCCACCCCCAAAGCTCCCCTGCCTGTGTGCCAATAGCTCCTTCTCATTTGAGTTTCCCCCCACACTGGGCCATTTCTTCTTCCTCCAGGAGACTGGGGGAAGCCTGAAGAGGACGGGAGGGAGAGACAGGAAAACCCCCTCCCCCCACCTGCACTGACCGAGCTCTGACCTGTCTGGCGTCTCCCCACCCTGTGCCACCTCCTCCTCTGTATCCCCCACATGGGTGAGCAGGGCACAGAGGGGAGCTGGGAGACAGTGGGAAGGTGCAAAGGGAACTGGGGCAACTTGGGGACAAGGGTGTAAACGGGACCGAAGGTCGATGGAGGTAAGGGAATCTCGGGCAGACACTGGAGGAGACTTGGAGAGAGGTGGGAGATGTGGGAAAGAGCCCTAAGAAAGGGCTGGTATAGCGCCTCGAATATTGGGGTGATCATTGTTGAATTGTATTGAATGAAAGAGACTAAAAGGACCAGGGATCCAGAAGGGTCCTGAGAGGAGGCCAGAGGAAACTGGGGGGACACTGGAGAACCCTGAGAACCCCTGGGGGACCAGGGAACATTGGGGGAGACCAGAGAACAATGGGGGGACTGCATAACCCTGAGAATCCCAGGGGACCAGGGAACAGTGGCGGGGAGACTAGAGAACCCTGCGAACCCTGGGGGACTAGGGAAAGGTGTGGGAAAGACCAGAGAACCCTGGGGGACCAGAGAACAGTGGAGGGGGAGGACCGGAGAACCCCGGAGAACTAGAGAACAGCAGAGGGGGCCCGAGTAACACGAGACTGGCTGGAAAGGACAAAGGGAGACTGGAGAACATGGGGGGCCTGTCGTGAGGAAGACTGGGGGTGCTGAGGGAACACAGTGGGGCCTGGGCATGATGGGGAGAATGGGGAATTACTGAGGTGACAGGGCAGCTGGGAGGGGAGGCTGGGTAGGGGGAGATGAGGAGCCAGGAAGATTGGGGGTGTTGGGGGCACCCTAGAGGGAGCTGGAGGAGGGTGTGTGTGTGTGGAAAACCTGCCAGGACAAGGTAGCTGCATTGGGAAAGGGGCACATGTAGCAGAGAGCCTGCAGACCTGGGGACAGGGGTCTGGGGCCTAGGGGAGGGACAGCAGAGGATCCCAGAAGTGGAATCCTGGGAAGGGGACGGAGATGGGAGCTAAGGGGGGGTACACAGTAGGGTACCTGGGAAGGGGGTCCTGAGGATTAAGGAGGTACCCTGGGGACCATGGGTGGGAATGTAGCAGGATCCCCCCTTCTGGGCACTAAGGGAGTACAGGGGTTCTGGGGACTACGGATAGGGCTGAACTCTGGAGTTGTGGGCACCGGGGAAATGCAAGGGTATAAGGGGTATGGAATCCTGGGAGCCAGGGGTGAGAGTCTACTCTTGGGGTCTTGGGCACTAGGGGGGTAGAGGGCGCCTGGAGTCCTGGGAACCAAGGGTAAGGAAACAGTAGAGCCCCTCCACGTCTGGACACCAGGGGGTACAGGGTCCATGGGGTCCATGGGCAGGGGTACAGTGGGGTCTCGTCCTGGGCACTCTGGCATGTGGGGTACGGGGGTCTTCGGAGGAGTGCAGCAGAGTCCTCTCCCCCGATCTGGGACACTATGGGGGTGCAGAGTACGTGGGTCCGGCAGTAGGGGTACAGGGTTTGGGGGTCTAGGCGGAGTGCACGGGGTACCAGGTGGTATGAGGGCACGGGGTCCATGGGTGGGGCTACACTCCCAGAGTTCAGGGCACTAACGGGGCACGGCTCCAAGGGGACGGTGCACCCCCCGATTAGAGGCACTAGGGGTGCGGGGCACGGGGTCCATGGGTGGGGCGCACCCCCAGACTGTGGGGCGCTGAGGGGGTGACTTACCGGCCCCCGCCCTGGCCGGGGATCCAGGCGCTCCTGCAGCAGCAGCTCCCTCGCAGGCCGCCCGCTCGGGCTCCGCCGCCGCCGCAGTTGCCCCGCCGGCCCCTCCCCCTGCCCGCCCCGCCCGGCCCCGCCCCGCTCCGCCGGCCTCGCGCCCCGTCGCCCCCTCGCGGTCCCGCACGCGCCGCCCTCGCTGGGTCCGCCGCCCTCGCTGGGTCCACGGCGCAGGCGCACAACGTGCCGCTCCACCAGCGCCTTCTCTCTTCTTCGCCAGACCTAAGGCGTAGGCGCAGGCGCAGAAGTTCACCCTTCTCTACTCTCTTCCCTTGAACCTCCGCCTCCGGTGGGTCTTGGGCCACTACAGACCCGACCCATGGCGCAGGCGCAGGAGCTCCTTCCTCCGTTCCCTTCCCTACCTCCCTTGGGGCTCCATCTTCCTCTTTTTGCGCAGGCGCGGGACTACCCCCTGGCTTCTTACGCTGCCCTAGCGCTAAGGACACGCATCCACCCCCGCACTCCCCGCGCAGGCGCAAAGCCCTCAGGGAACAACCTAATGAAGCTGGTGGGGGGGTTGGTGGCGGTGGAAGAAACAGGGCAGGAGACCGATGAAGTGGAGGGGGGCGCTCTAGCCTTGAGTTCCCAAGGAAAGGGGGGGAGGACAGCGGGACATTGCGGGAGCTACTGCTCCACACTGCGCTTGCGCCTCGGTGCAGCGCTCCTTTTCCCTAGGGGTGGGAGGCCATGCAGTTTCCATGGGAACCATCGGCCAATGAGAGCGCGATCTCGGAAAGCGCATCTCCTGCTCCCCCATCTCTCCTCCCTCCTTCCCCTGGATTCTTCCCCTATCTACCCCTCCGACATCCTGTCTGCTGCTCCTTCCCTCTCCCTCCTCTCCTTCCTCCCCCTTCTTCCTTTTTCCCCTATGGATTCCTTCCCTTTCTACTCCTCCCTCCTCCTGTTGCCTTCCTCAGTCTCTTCTCACCCTCCTCCCTTTTCCAGTCTTCCTCCTCCCCCACTCCCTCTGGATTCCTCCCCTTTCTAACGCTCCCGCCTTCCTCCCGTTCCTTCTGTAGCCTGTTCTTCCTATCTCTTTTCTTCCCCCTCCTCCTCCCCTGTTCCTTCACTTTTCCTTCTCCCTCCTCCCGCTTCTATCCTCTTCTTCCTCCTCCTCCCATTCTTCCTTCTTAGTCAATCAACAAGCTGCCCTACACCCATCATCCAGGGGAGCATCCCTGGAGAAGGAACTTAGCATCCCTACCACCATCACCTGCTTACCAACTGCCAGGGGGTAGGCAAGGCACAGTAGGAGAGGGCGTGTACTAGACCGGTCAAGCCACCTCGATCACCACCTCCTCTCAGTCCCTGGCAGAGATATCCCAAGGACTCAGAGCCCAAGAGCCCTGGCTACAACAGCCCCCTCCTGTCCCCTCCCCACTCCTCTGCCTTGGGTCCTGACTCCAGCTTAGCCCCACAGCCACAGTCCAGGAAAGCAGCCCCCACCTCCCCAGCAGCCACAGCTCCTGAGGATCTGGAATAGAAAGATCTCACCACCAAGGACCGTGGCACTGTCCAGTGGTTCAACAGCAGAAACCAAGAGGCTTCCAGAAGCCCATGGAAACGGTGGTAAAGAAAATGCGTTACTATCTGCTTTGTTGAGCCACCCTAAGGACACCAGGGCCTTTCCAGATGACTTGTAGCTGAAACCTCCTCTCTGAGTTGCCTCCCTGTATTAGAACGGGAGCTACGGAGAAGCACTGACTGCCTTGTTTTTCTACTGGTAACCCAAATGCACTCCAATGTGCCAGGCCCTGGTGAGTCAAAGGAAAAACTGAAGTGGTTCTAGGCCTCAAAGGGCATCTATTCTGTGAGAGAGGCAACATGTACATATATACTGGCATATGTAGTATAGGTAAAAAATGGGGGTTTAGGGGAGCACAGAGGAAGCCCTAGCAGCTGTGTAAGATCAGGAAAGGCCTCATGCAGGAGGTGGTATGTGAAATTTGTCTTCCTCTTTCCCCTTTCCTCCTTTTTTCCCTCCTTTCCCCGTGTTCCATCTTCCTTCCCTCTTTGGTGCTAGGTGGTGCATTGGATAGAGCAAAGGACCTGGAGGCAGGTAAACTTCTGTTCAAATCTGGCCTTTCGTACTAGATGTGCGACCCTGGGCAAGTCACTTAACCTCTGTTTGCCTCTGTGTCCTCATCTGTAAAAACAGGGATAATAATAGCACCTATCTCCCAGGAGTGTTGGGAAATGAAATGAGAAGCTATTTATAAAGTGCTTTGCAAGTGCTTAAAATCCTATATAAATGCCAGATAGTATTATTTTTATTATTATTATTTCTCCTTTTTTTCTTTTTTCCCTGTTGCTGCCTTCCTCTTTTTTTTCCTCCTTCCTCTTCCTCCTCTTTCTTTGTCTTCCTCTTTCTTCTCCCTCTTTTCCCTTCCTCCTCTCCTGCCCTCTGGAAGGGAGCAGAAAAGAGGGCATACCGAAGGATGAGAGCTGGGCAGGACTGCAGAGGTCATCCAATCCACCCCATGTTTTACAGATAGAGACACTGAGGCACAGAGAAGTTAATTAAGGAGGTCTGTCTGCCAGTCCTGTGCTGTATCTTCCCAAATGGTCACACTCCAATTCCCTAGGTACCCATCTATACCCACCGAGGCTCTAAATGTGGGCACAGGAAGCAGACAGGGCCTCAGTTTTTCCTTTTGGTCTTCAGACAGATTAGTTTGCTGAGCACACCTCCTGGGCTGTGGTTAGATACACTGCCCTTTGGCTTCTAAAGCCTGGACTTATCGCCTGAGATAGAGGCCATCTTTGCTGGGGCGGGGGGGGGGGGGGAGCAGCAGCCAACTTAGGCCAACATCCTCAGCTCTTTTGGCTTTCTGCCTTAGTGAACTTTCCTCTCAACTCCCCTCTTTAATAGAACAGGCCATGACAATTCCTTTGCTGGATGTTCCAATGGATTATGAGGGCCCTGTTGGAAAACTGGGCATTCTGGGATTGCCCCATCCATCCTCAGTGTTCTGATTTCTTCCTCGGCTCTACATGCCATGGAGGAGTGATCTGACCAGTGGGTTTAGTCTACTGTCTTGCCTTAGTAGAAGAAAATGGAAATAGTGCCTCTGTCAAAGCAGCCTCAGTCATGTCTGACTCTTTCTGACCCCATCTGGGGTTTTCTTGGCAAAGATACTGGAATGGTTTGCCATTTCCTTCTCTGGCTCATTTTACAGATGAGGAAACTGAGGCAAACAGGGCAAAGTGACGTGCCCAGGGTCACATAGCTAGTAAATGGCTGAGGTCATATTTGAACTTAGGTCTTCCTGACTCCAGGCCTGGTGTTCTATCCACTTCGCCAGCTAGCTGCCCAGCCTGAGTGTAATCACAAACTAATCACCTCCCACCCTCCCCAACCTCTGATGCTATCAAGGGGTAAATATCTAACCTTCTAGTTCAGCTCCCTTAACCCCAGTGTCCACTTCAGGCCAGTTCAAAATTGAACTGCTAGCTACAGTGATTTTTTTTTTCTTTTTAAATGTTTGATTTATTATTTTTTTTTAATATCACTATTCCTTTCCAATGACTCTTGTCTCACCCCCCCCAAAAAAACCTTCCTGTAACAAAAGTTAAGCAAATGAATAAACACATTGGTTCTGTCTTAAAAGGTAAATGTTATTCTACCCCTCCAGTGCATCACTTGGTCACTGTATTGTTCAGAGTTCTAAGGTCTTTGAGTAGTTTTTCTTCGCCTAGTTGTGGTCATTGTGAAAATCCCCTGTCCTTTTCAGCTTACTTTACTCTGTGTCAGTTGTGAGAGAATCTCAGGGCTGGAAGAGATCTATCTCAGCAGCCACAGAAGGATGAGAGGACTATGCCTAGTGGTAGAACAGCTGGGTCAGCACACCCCAAGGAATCCCCACTACAACCCGTCTGACATGTGCTTATGCATCCGTAGCTTGAAGGCTTCCAAGTTCACATGGATCTTGGCAAGTTCCTCCAGATTCTCGTATTCCTCCTTTCTTACTATGTGGTGCTATTCTCACTACCTTCATAAGCCACAGGTGACAGGCAGCTTCTTTCCTTCTAGTCCCACTACAGCTGCTATCAATATCTTTGTACCTATGGGACCTTTCCCTCTATTTTTTTTTTAACCTCCTTGGAGGTCTATGCCCAGGAGTGGAAATTTTGTGTCAAAGTCACAGTTAGTTTGTTCTAACTTGTTTTGTTCATAATGCCACCAGGAGGACATTGGTGTACCGGCCTTCCCACAGCCCCTCCAGCATTGACCATTTGGGATTTTTGTCATTCTCGGCTCCTTTGATGGGTGTGAGGTGAAATGCTTCAACTGGAATTTCTCTTATTATTAGCAGTTTGGAGCCTTCTTTCCTATGGTTGCTTAGCGATTTCATTTCTTCTTTTGAAGACTTTATCTAGTGGGGAATGGCTCTTATTCTTATAAAATTGTAGCAGTTCCCTACATCTCTTGAGTAACAGCTAGATCTTTATCAGAGCTATTCAGAGGAAAGATTAGAGAAAAACTTTGAGTGCACAGGGTTCCTAATTTTAAGAGAAAGCGGGTCTCAACCACTAACATAATTACACATAGACAGTGTGTTCATTGACGTTCATGACAGCAGCCACAAGCTAAACATTATAAAATGAATTTCAGCATTCATTGCCATCACTAATGTTTACATAAGCTTTATTGTGTCTGAAGTACTTCACATACATAATCCCATTTGATTTGCAAAAACTCTATGAGATGGGTTATTATAATTTCTATTTTAGAGATGTGAAAACTGAGGCTTGCCTAGGGTCACATAGGGGAAATTTGAACCTTGGGTCTCCTGACTCCAAGGCCAGCACGGTTTTGTATTGCCTCCTAAAAGCAGCTAGGTGACCCAGTGAATACAGCACTGGGCCTGGAGTCAGGAAGACCTGAATTCCAATTCAGCCTGAGATGCTTATTAGCTTCCTGACCCTAGGCAATTCACTTAATCTCTGGTTGCCTCAGTTTGGTTAACTGCAAAATGGGAATGATAATAGCACCTGCCTCCCAGGATTGTTGTGATGATCAAATGAAATAATATTTGTAAAGGGCTTGGGATAGCGCTTCATGTAGTAGATGCTTAATAAATGCTTGTTTCTTCCCTCTGGTTAAAGAATTCTTTTCAGATCTGGGATGATTCAGCTAGGTGACACAGTGGATAGAGTTGACCCTGGAGTCACAAAGACTCATTTTTCTGAGTTCAAATCTGGCCTCAGACACTTATTAGCTGTGTGACCCTGGGCAAGTCATTTCACCCTGTTTGCCTCGGTTTCCTCAGTTTGGGCATAGTAGGTGCTAGAGAAGGAAATGACAAACCACTCCAGTT